CTGCAAACTTCACCTTCCAGGCTCAAGCAGTCCTCCCACCTCAGGCTCCCAAGTAGCTGGGACTACAGGAATGCACCACCACACCTGCCGTATATATATATATGTATATATGTATTTATATATATATATATATATATTTTTTTTTTTGATAGAGACAGGATTTCACCATGTTGCCCAGGCTGGTCTTGAACTCCTGGGCTCAGGTGATCCTCTCATCTCGGCCTCTAAAAATGTTGGGATTACAAGTGTGAGCCACTGCACTTGACCACTTGCAGAGCTCTTAAAACCACAACTCTTGAGTTATCTTCGGGCACCCTGTTGTGCTATTCTATACAACTGTACTCCTTGCTGGTCCTTAAAGCATGAGGCTGGCCCTGCTGACAGTCTGTGAGGGGTCATGACTATCTTGAAATGTATCCTTAATTGATTCTTTTCCCCTGTCTTAGTAGTTAGGGAATGAGCATGGACCCAGGCAGCATGCAGAGGTTTGTGTTGGCTCTGGCATTTTCTCTGTTTAGTGCAACAGATTTGATGATCTCCCAAATCCTTTCTGTGCAAACATGCTGTGGTTTCAGGCAAGCTACTGAGGCCTGTGTGCAGGATGGATTTAGAGGCCTGCCAGGAGGCTGCCACAGGCACTGAGGCGCGAGGTGTTGAAAACCTGAATTGGGGGGTTGGCAGCGGGGATGGAAGGGTGCAGATGGATACAAAGACCATTTGAAGGAAAAATCAACACAATTTAGTGACTAACGGGAGATCCTGGATGAAGGAAGTGAACGAAAAATGACTACAACCTTTCAGAGTTGGGACTGCACTAAGCTGGCTATGTGACTTTAAAAACTCATTCACACTTCTTGGGTTTCAGATTCTGTAAATTAAGATAACTGGTGAAACGGGTACAATAGTAAAGCAGTAGATGGGGATTATTTTCGGGGAGGAATTGTGAATATGTTAAGTAAGAAAATGATGGTGAGGTATTCCAGTAGAATTATCCAAGAAGAATTAGAATTCCCATTTCCAAGCTCAGCAGCGAAGCGTGGACTAAAAATACAAATTGAGTGATGGCGTGTGGAAAGTGGAAGCTTCTTGGGGAGGAAGAATATAAACAGTAGGTCCGTGCCCAGGGACTAGTTTGGAAGAAGCACTTCTTCTTGGCACGGACGAGTCCGGGAAAGTTTTAGAAGATCTGATTGCCTCTATAATCAAGTATTAAGGGTTGTCCAAAAACAAACAAACAAACAAAAAACTGGGTAGTTTGTTCTCACAATAAATAAGTTTCCCTTCCCTTTCTCCCTTCCCTTCCCTTCCCTTTCTCCCTTCCCTTCCCTTCCCTTCCCTTCCCTTTCTCCCTTCCCTTCCCTTCCCTTTCTCCCTCCCCTTTCTCCCTCCCCTTTCTCCCTCCCCTCCCCTCCCCTCCCCTCCCCTCCCCTCCCCTCCCCTCCCCTCCCCTCCCCTCCCCTCCCCTCCCCTCCCCTTCCCTTCCCTTCCCTTCCCTTCCCTTCCCTTCCCTTCCCTTTTTTTCCTGGGTGAAGTTTTGCTCTTGTTGCCCAGGCTGGAGTGCAGTGGCACAATCTTGGCTCACTGCAACCTCTGCCTGCCAGGTTCAAGTGATTCTCCTGCCTTGGCCTCCCAAGTAGCTGGGATTACAGGCATCCGCCACCATGTCTAGCTAATTTTTTGTATTTTTAGTAAAGACAGGGTTTCATCATATTGGTCAGGCTGGTCTCAAACTCCTGACCTCAAGTGATCCACCTTCCTCGGCTTCCCAAAGTGCTGGGATTATAGGCGTGAGCCACTGTGCCCGCCCAGGCATCTTTCTTAGATTCCCCTTTTATTTTGGTTTCTTTGTCTTTATCTCTTTGTTTCTGTGTATTTCTCTTTCCTTTTACTTCTGCTTCTCCTCCTCTTCTTTTTTTAATTGTAGAATACACATATGCATAACAAAATTTACCATTTCAGCCATTTAAAATTGTATAATTCATTTACATTTAGTACATTCATTATGTTGTATAACCGTCTTCACTGTCTAGTTCCAGAACAGTTTTATCACCCCAAAAGGTAACCCCAAACCTATAAAGCTATTTTACTTCCCATTCTCCCCTCCCCACAGCCCCTGGCAAGGACTAATCTGCTTTCTGTCTCTATGAATTTACCTATTCTGGACATTTCATATAAATGGAATGGAATATGTGGCCATTTGTGTCTGGCTTCCTTCACTTAGGATAATGTTTCCAGGTTCATCCATGCTGTAGCATGTATTAGTATTTCATTTCTGCTTGTGACTGAATAATATTCCATCCTATGGATATGCCACAGTTTGTTTATCCATCTGTCTGTTGATGGACATTGGATTTTTTTTCCACCTTCTGACTATAATAAATAATATTATTCTACATACTTGTGTACAGGTTTTGTGGGGGCATATATTACCCTTGGGCACTTACCCAGGAGAGGAATTGTTGGGTCATATAATAGTTTTATCTTTAACTTGTTGAAGAACCATCAGACTGTTTTCCACCATGGCTGTATCATTTTACATTCCCACCAACTATGTATCAGGGTTCCAGTTTCTCCATATCCTTATGAATGCTTACTATTATTTTTAAATTGTAGGCATCTTGCGGGGTCCAGAGGGGTATGTCATTGTGGCTTTGATTTGCATTTCCTTGATAGCTCATGGCACTGAGCATCTTTTCATGTGCTTTACTATCTAGTTCCAGAACATTTATTTATCTTTGGAGACGTGTCTATTCATGTCCTTGCCCATTTTTAAATTGAGTTGCTTACTGAATTGTAAAAGTTCTTATATATTCTGGATAGTCCCACTGGGCTTATCCTTCAGATCCCAGCTCAAAAAGGGAAGTGGGAGACATCCCACTATACGCTTTTGCGTACAAGGTTTTGTGTGAACATGTATTTATCAAAGACCTGAAGTGGGAGAAGTCTCGCTTCCCTTTTTGAACTGGACTCTGAAGGATAATTGGAAGTTAACTTGGTGACTAGTCTTGAGAAGACCTTTCCAGGCAGAGAGCATAGTACGTACCTGCTGTATATGTCATCTTGGGCTGCCATAACAAAATCTGGTAGTGTGGGTGGCTTACACAACTGAGATTTATTTTCTAACAGTTCTAGAGGCTGGAAGATCAGGGGACCAGCATAATCTGGTTCTGGTGAGAGTACTCTCTTCCTGGCTTGTAGACAGCCACCTTATCACTATGTCCTCACATGGAAGGGAAAGAGAGAGAGAGAACCCTTTGGTGTCTCTTCTCCCAGGGCACTAATTCCATCATGAGGACCCTGGCCTCTTGACCTAATCTAAGCCTAATTAGCTCCCAAATGCCCCATTTCCAAATACCATTCCATTGAGGGATAGGGTTTCAACATGTCAATTTGGAGGAACAGACACATTTAGTCCAAACACTTGGCAAGGCTTTGTGGGCGAAAGGGGCGCGGTGAATGAGGCACTGAAGCTAGGTGTCTGCTGGATCCTAAAAAGTATTGAGGAGGCTGGTGAGGTTGGTGGGGGCCACACAAGAGCCAGAGCATGAAGAGCAGACCTTCTCAGTCCTTATCTTGGGTAGAAACCACCCGTGATCTTGTAAAAATGAAGACTCGAATTCAGTAGGTCAGGGAACGAGTGAAGATTCTATGTTTCTAATAAATTCCCAGGTGATACCAAGGACATAACCACATCGAAGTAGCAAGGACATAAAGCTCCAAAGAGCCTGCTAAGGACAATAATATTTTCTAAGAGAAAGAAAAGTTATTGAATGGTTTTATAAAGGAGAGTGACAAGATCAAGTTTTTGAAAGATCACTCTAGTTGCTCAGTGGGAAAAATACTGGAATAGGACAAACAATTGGGGGAAAGAGTTAGTAGTTGAATTGATTATGGTTAAGTAAATTAAAGTCTGTATATTCATGTGACAGAATGCTCTATAAACACAATGGTTATGAAAACATTTTCATGACATGGAAAAATATTTGTGACATAATGCTAAATAAACAGAAATCAAAGTTATGTATACCAATTGGTTTCAATGTTGTAGAACAATGTGTGTATGAAGAAGCAAATGCAACAGTTTGTTAACAGAGACTCTTGGGAGGCTGGATCATGAGTGATTTTTTTTTCCTTTATTTATGTTTTTTCCTGTATCATTTCTACCATTCTCACTCTGATATTTTATTTGTTTAGATTGTTTTCCAAATAGCCACTGAATATTACTAAAGTTGTCAAAAACCTGAAGATTTGTATCTGTGAATCTCAAATAAAACTCTACAAAACTGCAGCTCTAATACAGTAAATAGAAATCCCAGTTGAGCTCATTTCCTGGCCCCTCTTAGGGTGCCATGCTGTTGCTGGTTGTCAATTTCACACATGCAATTTCTATCCATTCAGAGCTGACAGCTTGGATTTCCCTCTCCATTGTAATAGCTGTTCTCTCTCCTGGCTTCCCCAGGCTTGCATTTGGTAACCTTTGCCCTTTTATTTGGTACAAGCCAAAATGGCATCTTTGGAAAACTAATGTTCCAGAGAAAATGGTAGCACGAAGCCATATAACCTACTGTTCTTTTTCTTTCTGTTTGTGAAGGTTATTATTAAAGCTCATTTTAGAGAATTTCAAATCCATTCAAAGTATCATGGGTTTAAATTTTTCTAATGGAAGCAAAGCTTTTGATGTTTGGGTTTAGAAAGCTGCCTGGTCTCTTTAGAGTTCAAATTTTCATACATTGGAACAATTGATCAAAGACTTTATTTTAGGACAGAGAGAAAAGGCAATTTACTTTACCTATAGTTGTTTTGTGTTCTCAACATTATTATTATACATTTTTTTTTTTGAACCATCTCCCTGTTTGAAGATCTGCTTTTTAACTAACATATATTGGCTTCATCTTCTTTTTGATCAGTCTGATAAACCATCTGGAAACAATTGAGAGTGACGTCACAAAGCCAGCATTATGATTTCAATGTAGGATCAAAGAATAGAAGGGGAAAAAGTGAGGAGTGGAGAAGCGATTTAACCTTTAAGTACAAATAACTAACAGGGTACAAAAAGGCAAGAAAACATGACAAAATGAAAGGATTATTGATGGACAATAAAGGAAGCGTAGTAGGTTTACCTTGAGAATTCACTGAGCTAATATACTGGCTCCCATTTCTATGTTTATTGTAGGAAAAAGAGAAAAACACTAACCCAGGGATAGTGCTGACTAGGGATGCCCAAGTCAAAAAGACATTGTAGCACTGGGCTTGGCAGAGTGTCCTGAAGCTAAATGCAGAAGACTGCGGGAAACGTCTTCAACTGGGGCTAAAGGTCATAAGCAAGGACAATGAACCTGGAATTTAGAGGAATTCATACTCCAGTGAAGAATTTCCAGACCCCTCATGAAAACAGCAGATTGCCAACTCACCAGATAATACTCAAGCTGAAACTAAGCCGCCCCTGGAAAGTAAGCAAATGATTAGAAGGGTGGATTTCAGGCAAGCAAAAGGTGAGAGCCCAGAATCTCCATGTGAATGATCCTAAAATTACAGCTAATATAGAAAGTGGCTTCCTTGTACCTTTAGAAATTGAACTCTCAGAACCTGACTGACAGTCTGCTCTTAAGAACATTAGCTCAATCTGGAGAGAAATGTATGTTTCCAGCTGGCTCGAAAAGTTCTTCTCCTATATGGATTTTAGGTAGAAGCAGAAGGAGGTGAGTGAATTTCAGGGAGGGCGCTGGGTCTGGCAAGCTATAAAAACTTTTCTTTGGAGAAATCGGAGAGCAGCAACTCCAGATTCTTTTTTTGTTGTTGTTGTTATTTAAATCAACAACACTGTATTTTCCAGAATTATCAGCAAATATACTGTAGTTCTATATTTTATCTATGAACGTGATTTATTTAAAACATCCTCGAATGCTACTTAACTTTAATATCTTTTAAAAATACCTTTCTACTAATCAATTTAGTTATACATTTTAAAAATTATTATGAGGTCGTATGTTCCAATTTGAGTTTGGAAAATATGATTACTGTACTAGCTCATGAATCCCTTTGGTTACCAAGCTATGCCCCCAAAATTTTCCTCTACATTAGTTACTCTTATCAAGATTGAAGTTACTCAACTATTTAAGTAATTCTTATCTAATATAACAATTCTCACATTAAAGTGAGGACATTTCCAACCCTTGAGTTTCTGTTGCCTCTCTTCATTTAACTATAATATGCCCCAAATGAGGCATCAATAAAATCTTATTGTTATTTGTTTTTTTTAGAGATGCTGTCTCACTATGTTGCCCAGGCTGGGCTCAAGCAATCTCCCAGCCTCAGCCTCCAGAGTGGCTGGTATTCCAGGTGTTACAGGTCACTATGCCCAGCCCAGGATCTTACATTTTAATATTATTGTGCAGTGGCACGATCATAGCTCATTGCAGCCCACTCTCAGGCTCAAGGGATTCTCCTGTCTTCGTCTCCCAAGTAGCCAGGACTACAGGGACTACAGGCATGCACTACCACACCCAACTTTCTAAACCATTTTTTAAATTTTTATTTGTTTTAGTGGAGATGGGGTTTTGCTATGTTGCCCAGGCTGGTCTCGAACTCCTGAGCTCAAGCGATCCCCCCCAACCTCGATCTCCCAAAATGCTGGGATTACAAGGGTGAGCTATACCATGCCCTGTCTCAGAATCCTATTTTTTAAAGTGAAAAAGCAAGTGGTCATATCTTTGAAAAAAAAAATGACATTAAAAAGGAACATACGCATAACCAATATTGCTGCCCTCACTTTATTGTGAGAATTGTTTTTATACTATGTATTTGGTTGTATGCTGCTGCCAGTGTACATAAAACAATTACCCTTGTGAAACAGAAATTTATGAAAATTCGGAGAGGTAGATGTGAAGGACTGAAAAGGTAGAAGTTTGTATATTATGGCACATATGTTATAGGGATAAGTTTTTGTACAGGCTTCAGATTTCTAGCTCTCTTTTGAGTATTCACTGGTTCATGAGAAGTGGTCTGGGAAACCTTTGAAAGGTCCGTTTGACCACAAAAGGGACAGACGTTCTGGAGTCTGGAGAGATTTGAACTCGAAGATACCCCGGTCAGCAGGAAGTCATGTGGAACATTCTGCAGACAGAATTGTTTCAAGTTTGAAGATCCCTGGGATACTTTGATACAGTTGAGTCCAGCCTCCAGCCAGAGCTGCTGAAGCACTTTCTTTATAGCAGCAAGGCTGGGGGAACCAGACATGACACAGCCCAGAGCCGAGCCAATCTGTGGGTTGGTGGCTTGCGAGTCGGTGGGACCAGGCAGCGGGGCAGTGTGTGGCCTTGATGTGATAATTTTTAAAAACATTCAGTCTTTAGAATCATTTAGATCAAGGCTTTAGCATCATTTTCAACACAGTACTCTAGGAGCCACTAACAATTGCCTGGAGTTTGCATTTGAGTTCAAAAAGTATTTGTCATCTTGGCCTGAGATGAAGAACATATCACTTTTGTCGAAAATTTTGGAGGATATATGTGATTTTATTTAGACATGGAATGATTTCATATTTTTGCTTAGTACAATTACAAATTTATGAACATTCCCAGGTTACAAACGTCCGATTTGTATGTTGTTTAAAACTCATAACCTATAGGCCGGGTGTGGTGGCTCACGCCTGTAATTCTAGCACTTTGGGAGGCCAAGGTGGGCGAATCATGAGGTCAAGAGTTTGAGACCTGCCTGGCCAACATGGTGAAATCCTGTCTCTACTAAAAACACAAAAAATTAGCTGGGCATAGTGGCACTCACCTGTAATCCCAGCTACTCAGGAGGCCAAGGCAGGAGAATTGCTTGAACCCAGGAAGCGGAGGTTGCAGTGAGCCGAGATCGTGCCACTACACTCCAGTCCAGGTGACAGAGTGAGACTCCGTCTCAAGAAAAAAAAAAAAGAAAAAACAGCCAAAAAACCCCCTTATAACCTATGAAAACAACAGTGGGAGTGGGAGGACAAAGGAAGGAGACAGAGGACAGAGTATGTTTATCTTTATCTATCAGCACAACAAAATACTTCATAACCAAATCTCATAGAGTCTGATGCTTCTGGCTTCAACTTGTTTCTTCATCATGTATTAAAGCTGTGTGACTTTTTTTTTTTTTTTAATCTGGTTCCTTCGTTTGTAAAATGGGGTTCTTTTCAAAATTAAATATGGTAGCTTAAGCAAAACACTGCTTAGTACATAGTGCATACTAAGACCTCCATAAGAGTTAGTGTTGATTAACAGAGCTATTTCTGTTCCTGGTGAAATGAAGGAAATCCTAGCCAATTCTCAACCTTTTTTTTTTTTTAAATAAGATCCTTGGCAACTTAAATTTTTCTAATTAGACACCACCTGGATATCAGTGTGTACTAATGCAATGCAGGTGGTGCAAAAGGAAGTTTACTAAGAAACAGGAACCATTGGCCCTTGGCCCAGTTGGTTTTCAACAAATTGTTGAGCAAGTTATTTACCTTTTCTGGGTTCTCAGTTGCTCATATGTAAAATTGTGATCTTATAATGTTATGATATCAGATGGTATTATTTTAGAGGGATTTGCAAATTGGGAAATTCGTGAAGTAAGTTCCATTTCCTTACTGTTATCTCTCTCTTTTGATTACCTCTCCTCTTCCTTTCCAGGAATGGACACACCCACCCAAATCATTCAGACTCAAATCTAGTCTGTATTAAGTTAAAATGTTTATGTGAACACAAGAGAAATGAAAACATACATCCATACAAGAACTCGTACACATATGTTCAAGTAACACTTTGCATAATAACTAAATGATAGAAATGACCCAAATGTCCATCAACTAATGAATGGATAAATAAAATGTGGTATATCCATGCAATGCCATATTCATTGGCCATAGAAGGGAATGAAGTGATGATATATGCTACAACATGGATTAACCTTGAAAACATTGTGAAAAGTGAAAGAAAACAGACTTAAAAGAACAAACATTGTGATTCTATTTATGAAAAATATCTAGAATAGACAAATCCATGGAGACAGAAACTAGATTAGTGGTTGCCAGGAACTGGTGGAGAGGGAGGTAAGGAGTTACTGTTAATGGGTATGAGACTTCCTTTGAAGGTGATGAAATATTCCAAAATTCCAAAATTGATTGTGATGACAATTGCACAACTCTATGAATATACTAAATACCTTTACATTGTACATTTTTAAAAGATGAATTATACAATATGTGGATTATATCTCAATAAAGCTGTTATTTCAAAAACAAATTCTATTTGAAAGATGCAGAAGACAAAATGGTGACTCATTTGGCTTCTAGTTGAGAATCTAAAGAACTTCTTGTGACACAAAACAAGCTTGTCTAAAAGGGTCTGTAAGTCAAAATTGAGTCAGTAGATATATCTTTGGAATCTTCTATTAAGAACAGAAGAAATAATTTCTTAGGAAATAAAGACAAAACAAAGACAGTATCTGAATTTTGTAATAAGATAGGAGGCAAATCGAAACTTTCACTGCAAAAGTTAAGGTGAATAGCCAAGCAAATTCATATCATGTGTTCTTAGATAAAAATAAATCAGCTTTGAGGATTCTGAGTGCTTACATTTGCTCCTCACTAAATTTATTTATTTATTTATTTAGTTAGTTAGTTAGTTAGTTAGTTATCTTGCTCTGTTGTCCAGGCTGGATTGCAGTTGCATAATCTTGGCTCACTGCAACCTCTGTCTCTCAGGCTCGAGCTATCCTCTCACCTCAGCCTCTGGAGTAGCTGGGATTACAGGCACGCACCGCCACATCTGGCTAATTTTTGTATTTTTAATAGAGATGGGGTTTCACCATGTTGGCCAGGCTGGTCTCAAACTCCTGACCTCAAGTGATCCGCTCGCCTTGGCCTCCCAAAGTGCCGGGATTACAGGTATGAACCACGGCAACCGGCCCTCACTAAATTTAAAATGTCAAAATACTTTATTGTCTATTTCTAAAGATAAAAATTTCTACTAATAAAAACAACCCAAGTAATCTATAAATTTATAAGCAATAGTCACCTTTACTCTCTCTTGCAGACACACAAACATCAAATGCTAGCACCTCAGATTTCTGTTTTAGATTTTTTTTTTTGAGACAGAGTCTTGCTCTGTCACCAGGAGGCTGGAGTGCAGTGGCAGAATCTCAGCTCATTGCAAGCTTCGCCTCCCAGATTCACGCCATTCTCCTGCCTCAGCCTCCTGATTAGCTGGGACTACAGGTGCCCGCCACCATGCCCAGCTAATTTTTTGTATTTTTAGTAGAGACAGGGTTTCACTGTGTTTGCCAGGATGATCTCGATCTCCTGACCTCATGATTTGCCCGCCTCGGCCTCCCAAAGTGCTGGGATTACAGGCGTGAGCCACTGTGCCTGGTTGATTTTTTTTTTTTTTTTTGAGACAAGGTTTTGCTTTGTTACCCAAGCTAGAGTGCAGTGGCACAATCGTGGCTCACTGCAGCCTGGACCTCCCAAGCTCAAGTGATCCTCCCACCTCAGCTTTCTGAGTAGCTAGGACTACAGGCGTGTGCCAGCACATCTGGCTAATTTTTAATTTTTTTCTTAGAAATGGGGTCTCACTATGTTGCCCAGGCTGGTCTTAAACTCCTGGACTCAAGGAATCTTCCCACCTTGGCCTCCCAAAGTGTTGAGATTATAGGCTTGAGCCACCGTGCCTGGCCAGACTTA